ATTTGAGGCAAAGGGGGAAATGATGATAAAGTATAGTCTCATCTTTTTTGCATAACATAACGCATCCCAAACCATCTGCACAGTTATACTACCTTTTCATACAATTGCTTCAAATAGCATATGCCTTACCTTTTCTTATACGAGATATCAAAGAAAAACATATCTCACACAATATTTGCTTCATTTTCAGTCCATTGATTCAAATTAAGTTCAATTTTTATACCATATAATAGAAAATCACGCAATCCTTTGGTATACATTATTTGTATTCAATATGTTTGAACATAAATTAAGGCTATAAATTAAATATCCATTTTTTACAAAACTTATGGTTTTATCAATTATAATAATTCAATATATTATATAATGAATTAGTATAATAATTCATAGTTTATACTACTATAAACACTGTTAGATATTATGGTCAACTTATGCTATTAATTATAATAATGACAATAAGTCATATTATATTAGCATTTTATGAAAAATATAATAAAACATTTATAGACAAATTGTTTGTTAAATATATAATAATAATGATGAAATAGCGGTCTCCTGTAGTACTATTGATATATAAAAAGTTGTGTCCTTTTATTAGGACAGTTGTGTTCAATTATAAAACCTACTCTAGAAGTGGACCAAATCTTTACAAATATTATATTCATAGAGTATTATACAGTATAATGAAAGTGTCCTGTAATACAAAAATGTTAAAAAAAAATCTCTTGAAATATATTTTTATTATAATGTAAATTCATTCCAATAGTTGGGGTCAAAAACATTTTAACTTTATTATATAGTAAGTGATGTCAGTGCAGGTGATCGGTGCTAATGGTAAACAAATATTTTTTTTATTAAATATTCTGTTAACTCATAGATAATATTTTTACTAAATAAAGTTTTGTATATCAAAATTGATGACAATTAAGCTCAGAATTCAGTAATAATTTAATAATTTTATCAACTGTTTAAACATTTAGATAATGTTATAATCATACTTTGTTACAGTTTATCTTCAATATACCGGTATATTGACTGTGATTGTCTGACTGACTGCACCTTATGAAGGGACGGACGGGTCTTTGCATTACATAAGATGAATCAGAAATATACTCATTTGACGGCACCGGTCGCTTACACCCTGACCTCAACGTTGCTTAGCCTTTAAAATACGTTTAATTCTATATGTATTTAAAAATTAAGGGAAAAAAGGAAAACCACTTCCTTTTCTTTGATTGAATGAAATACTATAGATTTTCAATGTTATTACAATATGTATGTATTATAGATATGTGGGTGATATACACAAAGCTATTGCCTGTATGTCGACACGTATCCAAACCCATAGGAGAAAGTGAACAAATATATCCAAATGAGTTTCCGGTCATATATGAGGGCCGGTATTGTGTGATAAAAACTATCCCTAATTTTTTTGTTTGTATTCGTTTTTGGCAAAAATTATGAACAATAATAGCAATAATTTATATTTGATTATAAGTTTTGTCTCTCATTTACTTTCCATACCAATGAACTTTGTGACCAATGCTTTATGAATAACACTAATTCTATGAGAATTTTGACATTAAAACCACTTTTTTCACTAATGGCTTGTAATTTGTTTGTTTTGTTATTGTAATTACGTTATCGTATGACAGTTACGAACAATAATAAGATCTACTATACGATACCATTGATACCATTGATACCATTGATATCATAGATAAATGATTACTTTTTAAGTACATTTTTTTAACTTATCAAATCTGTCTATAATTTTAAATTATGACACACTTTAATGGCATATATGCACTGATTATACTGTATATTACATTTCAGATTATGTATATTTTTTGATAATAGCGTTTACATAAACAACAATTTTTGTATCCGTTATAACTTTCTGGTCATCAAATACTGTAGTCATGAATCACAAATTATATAATATATCAATCATCAAACTACAGTATATATAATTTTTTAATATAATTTATATACAGTATAATTAGTTATTTTTTAAAATACTACTTAATAACGGATTGAATATTTGTTAATTAAAAAATATATTAAACTGTATATAAATAAAATATTATAATTATTTATTATTCTTATGTCTTTATGGTTGTATGAATGAATGTAGTATTTAACAACCAATTAATTGATATAATATCATAAACTGTTTGTGACATATTATACTATATATACAATAGTATAGGACATAATTTAAGATTCAAAAGTAGATATAAGTGTATGAATTGATAAATTTAGGTAAATTAATCAAACTTTTTGAGTCTGATTGTATAAATATAGAACTATAAGGGCACCCGATATGTGTTTGTTATAAGTTAAATGCAAATTATGCTAAAAAGGTATTCAATGTTTGCTAAACTCGACAAATACAGTGTTGAAGAGTCCTCTCATAGACTGACTCACACTCTCAACAAAATGTGTCTCATCTGAGAAATCGTTTGATTATTCAATACCTCAACGGGATATTGAAAATAAAGATTTTCTTCCTTTTTATTATAAATAAAATATTATCTTTTGAGTCATTTTGGCTCTAAAGGAAATGCGGGTATATTTTTCATTTTATATTTTAATCCAAATAACCAGTATTTGCATTTTAACATATTTTTGTATAAAAAACTTCAACATTCAACAAAGTACCGGTATACTAAAATTTAGCAAAACTCACATTTGTACCTTAAATAAACTGATTTATTGATTGATAAATATAGAATTCATAATTTATTTAAAAAATATATTTGATTTTATTTAAATAAAATTAATATTGTTAAACAATTTAATAGAGTTTTTTAATTTTATCTCAATTTTTAAATATGTACCATACTATATAATAAGATTAAATTACAAGCACTTTATAATTTATTTGAATGACATAACACAAAACATATTCATATAGAATAAACAACATAAACACAATTGTTGTATAGTTTTTTTTTATCATTGAATACGATATCTCATTTGCTGTATCTCTATATCTTATATTATTTGTGACATTGAATAACAAGCACTCAAACTGTGATTGGAAAATATTTGAAAAAAATATATAATAAACTACATTATAATATATATATATATATATATATATATATATATATATATATATATATATATATATATATATGTGTATATGAATATACAATTTGTGAGAAAACTCATGTCTTATATTGTTTGACATCTTTTCGTTTTACACTTCAATTGCAATCCGAGGAAAGGGTTGAGTATTGCTTTTGTATGATATTTGCTTAACATTTGTTTGACATTCATTTATTAAAATCAAAACTAAATTTTTAGGCTTTTAATATTTATGAATTTATATATAATACATATGAAGTATATATAAGAGTCTATTTTAGACCTACCTTTCAATCAAAACATACATTACTTTATAAGATATTAACAATATATCTCAGTGTGTGTTATTCAACCCTTACAGAGTTTCTTAGCTCTGTTAGCTCCCAAACTCAAGTATGAGATGAGAGGAAATAATAGACTAAAGGAAACAATACTATAATATGAAAATATGAGTACAGAGACTATGACTTAATAAATTTTGGACGCCTTTTGATTTATATGACCAGCTGTTAGACCCACAGGTGTAGTACATTATATAAATGTTTATAATAGTAATATAAAAGATAATTACATAAAAATTAAATAAATTTTTCAATTGTATCATTTTTTAAAAACATTTTTATTTAATGTACTATTAGTGATATACAAATAAAATGCCAAATAAATCAAATAAAAATATAATTTATATCAAACTTATATTACAAACATATTGAGCAAATTCAAGTAATTGTTAAGCACTTATATAACCGTGTGCTTTACAAAAAATATATAAATTTTTTTAACTTTATTAAAATAATTATATAAAAATATAAAATAAACGACTAGAAAACAAAAAAAAACTAAAAATAAACATTAAATAAATATGTTGTTTATATATTTTATATATGAATGAGACAAACATTAAAGTAGTTGTCATTACATTGTAGGCATCACACCTGTCCTTAATTATTATGTAATATCAATACAAATATAAACTTTGTGTGAAATTAACCTGTTTTTTATGATTATATGAATTGACTGCAAGATATTTAAAAACATTTCTTTTTATATGTTTTCTAAAAAAACTTTCCAAAGTTTTGCCAAAGATTTTCAGTGTTAATATAATGACCTTAAAGTTAATGTAAAATGTTTTTCAGTCAAATATATTGATATTATACTGTAGTGTTGTGTGGAGACTATGGTCAGTGCCTCACAAACACCAAACATCGTGACCTTAACGACAGGTGCTCAGCCAGTCCTTCCTAAGGCCTTACATTCTTCAATCTGAGCTCCTTATCATACATGAGCTGTTCGTCATTGTGTATAACAACTTATGTCTTAAAACATGTCCTGCTTTACAATTTTATTATTTCTTTTAACATTTTCTTATAATAAGAAATTTCTAACATATTAAAAAAATTATACGACATTTTATAACATTAATTATGTAAACATATATTTTTAAAAATATTTTATATATTTATAATATATAATTTTCTAGTATATTGTGTTAATTCAATATAAAATTGTGACCACAAAAATTGAATAACTTATATAAAATGTAATGAATAATATTTAAAAATATAGTTATATAAAACAATTAAATTAAATGTTTATAATGGATGGCACAATGAATTCACTCAGTTATGGTTAGATATTGTATTCAAATAATTCATTTATAATATAAACATTAATTTAAAACTTAATAAATAAATTTTTTTAAATGTGCATAATATAATATAAAATATTTAAATTATTAAATGATTTGTGTTACTTGAAATTTATATTACAATATATTGAATAAAATAATATTTATTAAAATATAGTAGCACTTGATGTTTAAGACTAGTCATCATAAAATATATGTATTTATATTTGTATATATACTGTATTTGTATATATGTTTGTATATATACTTTGAAGGACTACAATATTTTATGATTGGCACCGACACCACCAGTGACACCACCACCAGAACATCCGCCGTCTTCATGTTTGGTCAACAAAGACATTCGGGAAAATGTTTTGCTACAAGTTTTACAGCTATACTTCTTCACATCGGAATGAGTCTGTAGGTGTGCTCTAAGGTTAGAGCGATCGGCAAAAGCACGGCTACAGAACTCGCATTGGAAGGGCTTCTCTCCAGTGTGGGTACGGATGTGACCTATAATTACATAAACATATAATATTAATAATCAATTTTATTTAATAAATATATGTAATCAAATACCTTGCAATAACCACGGCCGAGAAAATGCTTTACCGCATAGTTTGCATTTACAGGGAAGGGTATGTGTCCTGATATGCATCTTAAGTGCACCCAATGAAACATATACTTTGTCACAATGTTTACAACTAAACTGTTTTTTAGTTTGAGTTGAACAGTGATATTCTTGATGTTTAGAGAGACCACTGAATGTTGAGTAACTTTTATTGCAATCCGTACAGTGATATCGGGTGGCACTAACTTCTGATCCATTTATAGGTTTTCGTTGTTTTAAATTTTTGTCTACTTTTTGGGATTCATTTGAAACAACTGAACCTCCAGAGTGAACACTTCCTCTTCCAGAATCATCGGATCCATTAAGACTGGGTGTGGGAGAAGACATAGTAGTCTTAAGAGACAACTGTTCGGTCCAATTGGATAAGTATTGCGGTCTATATTCTGAATGAATTGGAGATATGACTACATTTCTACTGTGACTCGACTCAAGAATACTTGGGTTATAATTATTGGCATTTCCTATACGTTCTGAACGAAGAATAGGTGTTTGTGGCGGTGATATCGGGTAATCGAGATGTCTGTTCTGGTAATATAATGATGAAGTGGACAATATGTTCTTGTTTTCATTATATCCATTATAACCAAAACCAAATGTAACAAATGGTGCGGATGTCGGCAAATGTCGGCTTATATGATGCGGTGATGAGGGAGACAAACGATGATTTGAATTAATTGTTTCCAGTGGTATGAGCGCTGGTTTTGTCAAATCGGTACCAATTTGACCATTTGGTGAATAATTGTATGGAGACAAACACTTTGTGCTCAGGGGATGAATATATGGGATATCCCGGTAATGAGGACTTGGATATGATTTGATATCTTTTGTTTTTTCATGTTTTACATCAATGTTTGTCTCTTTTAATAAATGTGTTTTAATGCTCAGATCGTAGGGTCCCTTTCCATCTAATAAACCAATAATTTATAATTTAATACTTAAGTTACTATTATCTTAATTTATATATTATTTAATAAACTATATAAATTAATTTGTAATAATTTAGCTAAAAATGATTACATATTAAAATCATAGCTAAACTATGGTATATTTAGAAACATATTTTATTATATTTATATTTACTTTAGATAAATTGCTGCATATTTTATTATAAATTAAAAGTATAAAGTGCTGTAAACTAAAAGTGCAATAAATTTCTAACTAAAGACTAATACACTTGTAATGGCAATAATAAACTAATCACATTAAATACAATTATCTTTGAAATATATCAGTTGTTTTTTGGTTATTTTAGTTATGTTTCACACCTTGTAGTAGACGTGTGTCTGGCAGCTGCCTGTGCCGCCTGTGTTAAGATTTACCTGTCACTCAAAATTTTATGCTATACTCAATATCTGTCTACACTTTTAACTGTATTAATATCTTTGATATGTCTCTCATCTCACTCACTGATTACAGTATATTCAAGTGGTATTTATTTGTGAAACAGAGCTAAACTGTTTAGGACTGGTAACTGTTAGGCAGGTGTTGGTTGATCTCTAATATGTGTAATATATGTGAGTGTGCTATGGGTTACTGAAAATTTTGAATTTATTCTAACGATTTTACATTGAATGTCATATAACAAACAGTTTTATATGATATTCACAAAAAAATTACTATAAAATTGTGTTTTTATTTATATATTTAGATTAAAATTATTGAAATTAATTTCTATATAAAATTATGGTCACAAATGTGACAAAACAAGAGAGTAAGGCTGGCTTTTAGACTAAAGTCGGCACAACTATTAGCGTAAATATGACTGTCCTTCGCTATTGAGGTCAACATTTATCTTAAACTTTGTCAAAATCTTTGTTTATTTAACATTTGCAAAAACACTTATAAAGTTTAGCATTAATACACTTTATAGTACTTCGACAATAAAGTAGTGACGCAAAGCATAGATAAATAATGAACAAAATGTTTGATATATATTACATACCATTTGAAAAATCGATGACATTTTTGTTAGTGTCGTTAGATTTGGAAAGACTATTCTCGTCATCAGTACATCCATTGGTTGGTGAGGTATTGGCGTTGGCCGTGGAGGTGCCCATCAGTTTAGAGGACTTCTTCTTGATTAGAAATGAACGGGGCATTGTTGGCACTGTAGGTTTGTGCTATCAATGGTCACACAATTTTGGCACTAGAAGTATATGGGATGATGTGATTAACTTATATACTATAATCACTAATAGATATAGTGATACACAACTCGTATATAAAATAAATTTGTTTAAACACAACTGTTGTGAACACTTTGAGATGTGAGAGTCAAATGATGACTGCAATCGGTAGGCGCTGTGTATATATATACTGAATAACAACTGAGTCCAGCGGTATTCATAAAACAGGCAGCAGTAACATAGGCAGGTGGACGGCATGTTTGGCCCAACCACATCCCAACTCACTGTAAGGCCGATCCAATCACCACTCAGGTATTCATTTATGCCCCTTAAACAACTCTCCTCTATCCCTCTCTGCTTATAACAGCTGCTCTCTTTTCTCTCTCTCTCTCTCTCTCTCTCTCTCTCTCTCTCTCTCTCTCTCTTACTCACTCACTCACTAACTCACCCATTTATTTATCCAGTAACTGACTAACTCACTCACTCACACACAACATCACAGCAAATGCTTTTAACTTACTTTTCTGAGAGGAAAGTAATGGAAAAGCGACCAAAAATAGTGACAATAGAGTATTTGGTAATACTTTTGAGACATTATTGGGATAACAGCAATAAGTCTCATTCAATTACATTTATAACTTTCAATACTGACTGATAAGTTAGTAATAAGTATTACTACGTCAAACTACAGGTGCAAAATCTCATTTGTTATAATTAAAATAAACCATAATTAAAAGATTTTACATAAGCATAAAATATAGCTTAACATTATTAGCAAATATTTAAATAAAGTTTAGCATTTCTATACCAATCTGTTAGGCTTTTATTGGATTTTATTATATTATATTTTTTTTGACTAATCAACGGTTAACAAAATAAATGTCACTTTTTATACGAATTACTGTTTAAATATACAATATATTGATTTTTATGAATACCTTTATTCAATCCGTGGGAAGTTTTATAAATTCATTGCATTTTATTATATGAACACTCTTTGACTAAGATTTGATGGCATTTGCGGTCTATTGGATCCAAACGTCGATATGTGGAACAAACTATTACTATAATACTACTACTACTAGTAGTAGTAGTCAACCCTTTAGGGATCCATCATTTTATTGACAGCACAGTTATGTATATTAAAATGCATATCAAAGTGAATGATAAAAAGAGTTTACTTTATAAAATGGTTGCACAGATGGTCTCATGTTATGGCGTAAGTATTATCTTCTTGTTTCACATTATGACACAATTTCTTTAGTATAAAAAAGAGACGAATAATGACTGAATTCAGTGATCAATATTCATCTCAAGCCATTCAAGTCATTTCCACATGAATTGAATGAACAAAAACACTATACACACAACAATATGACATTACTGTATACACTATACGCACTATTGCATTGTGTGTGTGTGTGTGTGTGTGTGTGTGTGTGTGTGTGTGTGTGTGTGTGTGTGTGTGTGTGTGTGTGTGTGTGTGTGTGTGTGTGTGTGTGTGTGTGTGTGTGTGTGTGTGTTTGGCACATCCCTGTGTATTAGAGGCACAACACAGTAGAAAAGCGGCACAATTATCCCTTACTATACGGTGCTTACCTTTTCTTAAGCAACAACAGTGTATATCTTAAATCTTTGTGAGAAGACTCGCCAATATATCTCTCGACTGTCTCACAAAATGTAGTAAAACTTTACTAAATTTACTTTTACTTTTCAAGGTAAGGGTCAGAAAAAGGTCAATGAATTAACAGGTTTCGACATTTTTGTTAGGAGTGGCCACTGGTCTGATCAAACACTAGAGAGAGAGAGAGAGAGAGAGAGAGAGAGAGAGAGAGAGAGAGAGAGAGAGAGAGGAAAGTACTCCTTTGAACACTAATGATATTATTATTATAGTTATGGACTAATAATAGGCAACTGAAACAACATATATATCTCATATTAGACTAGTGGTCAGTAACTAACAACTAAATTTATATACAGGTATATAACAGGTGGTATTTTATTATAATTTTTAATACTATATTTCATTAAATAAAATTAACAAAAATATTTTAACATTACAATTTAATGAGTCCTAACCTAACATAATGTTACAATTGTAATATTAAAGCCCATAAAATACTGAACACTAAATTTTAAGTATATTTTGAATGTTTACTTAATATGTGGTCGAAATAATCTATCAGAAAGTCTATACAAACGGCTAAAAAGAGGCTAAAGTATCGATAGAGTAGTACAAAGAATAAATAATTTGAAGATATTATGTGCTATAATTCAGTCGTTATAATAGTAAAAATCATGTTTTTCACAGGCATTCCTGAGTGGGTATGTCGTCAAAAAAATAGTAGAGAACCTGCTATTCTATTATTCTCGGCACTGGAATTTCAATTCTTTATTTAACATATACATACCTAACCGTCCCTCCCAGTCCTTTCCATCATTATAAAAGCTAAAAGATTTCTTGGTTGTGTGTTTGTGTGTCAATGATTTACACGACAATACAACAGATATATATTGAAATATATGTTAGATTTTTTTAGTCATATAAAAGAAATAGACAATTGAGAGAGTGGTCACCAATGGACATGACATCAAATATTTCTTATTTCAATTTAGGGAATCACTGCTGGATTCTAGACTCAAGTTAGAAAACAAGTGGATATTTAAACAAAAAATATTTGCTATCAATTTTTGTTGACACCAACATTATAAACAAATATTTTCAATGTATTAGTTTTCAATTTTTATATTTTACTTTACTTTATAACTTTAATATTTTCTAATACAGTTAATACCTGTATTAGTATTATACGGTTTATATTCTCCACTTTGCATATCAGCTATTATGCAAAAGATTGAAGCAAAAAATTATTTTATTTGTTGCAATTCATGGGTTATATAACCATTGAAACGGTTATCTTTATTAATCACACATTTTTATCGACAAACCTTTTGGTAAAACGTTGAGAAATATTTCTTTAACAATCAGTGCGGACACAGATTCAGTGTAGCATATGGTCCCTAAAGAGTCGGTGCATTATCTAAATTACTTCCCTAAAGATTTATTCAAAAATGTTATATACGTTAAGACATATCTTTTTTATGATAGATATATAGCTAAATGTGAGGCAATCGGGAGGATATTACAATAGGCAGTGCACTGCATTTATACACTAAATATACTGTATATAAGATATATAATATATTGTATGCATTACTTGGAAAGACTGTATTGGACTGTAAGGTGCATAGCATTCCTCAGTTAAGTCCAACGGAAGAGTAACTTATGTATTGAAACTACAATAAGATTGTTTGAGTTGAGGGTCACAATCAGGTAGAGGCAGGACATGAACAATATGTTGGTATATGTGAAGGACAAAGTGTATGACTGAAGTGAAAAGCTTACCTGTGCTTACATTTGAGGTTTTTCACAACAACTTATAATACTTTCGAATAGAAGAATTTGTATGCTTTAAAAAAAAAAGAGCGCACCTGTCGATGATGGCGTTCCCCTCCCCACACCAATACAGTCAACATTGCTTAAGATGATAATACTGGCATTGAATATACTTGTGTGCGATCGATATCTTCGAGAAAAATTACTCGAGAAAACAACAAAATTTAATACCAATCTTATTGTTAAGCAAAGTCTCATAAGTGGACCTCACAGTCAAATAACAATCACAAGACAAGGATTGGGACACAATCTTTAAACTTAACCTGTTTTTGCTCTTTTTATTTAATAAAAAAAAACTTCAAACTGTGTTAGCTTTAGTTTGTTTGACCAATGCATTGGTAAATGTTATTTGAATTTATTATTGATTTGTTTAAGTTGTTGGTCTGACATAGACTGACTATACTTTAGTTTTTGAGGTAAAAATAAGTATTTTAAGTCTTCCGCTGGAAGTAATGTTCACCTGTTTTTGGCTTTCAATTTGGCGACCCTTTTGTTGTATATCTATAGATGTACTCCCATTCCTTTTCCGGATATTATGGTTCAATAACTTAAAGCAAAGTTTCTTAGAGAAGCACAAAGAAAACGATTGAAAGGCAATCGACCCGATTTACGGATACATATTATATTATATGTGATTGTTATGAACATTAGCTTATGAGTAGTTAAGAAAACTATAGTTGAGGTCAGGGCTAATCACCGCTTAATATACAAAAAAACCTTAAGCGAGTAAAAAAGTTTTAACCAAATTCTGGTTAACTAATAAAAATAATTCATTGTTTTATACTTATACTCTCAACCTGTCGCTCCCCGGGATAGAGAGAGAGAACGAGTATAGTTTAGGGTATCAATGAGTGTGTTTATGTGTGTGAGTGAGTAAGTATAGTGTGTGGTGCGCCTCATATTTTGCAATTTGATGGTCAGGTGTTCAAAGAGTAGTAATAGTGTTTTAGGCACTTCTATTACAGTCATTATAGTGTTATGTCTTAGGGTTTGGAGATTTAAAGGCTAAACTCAATAATTGAGAAAATACTTGTCAGTCACGGCAGGGGTACAACTGAGCTATAGTTGGACTCTGCAAACAAGGCCGACGTCTTCAATGGCACTCATGTTATGATGATTGTGTGATTCAAGAGAAGTCATAAAATTCTTATGACAACAAAAAATACATACAATTTATACTGTTTTTTGAGAGTCAACCTGTATTACTGATAAAGAGAAGGCATTCATTAAATTTTAGTAATAAATTCGGCAAATAATTAGTGATTCCAGTCACTCATGAGGGCAGTCATGTTGACGCGTGCAAAACAGGTGGTCTTCAATAATCTATACTTTCATATCTATTTGCATTCAAATAACCACTACATCTATAGCCAGACAAACATCAGTTCAGTTTTTTCTTAGACTCCTATATTTCCTTTAGTCCTTAAGTCATCTCACTATCAAAGTTACGATAACTCCTTTTCTACTGAATAACCAGTTAAGGCACTACTCATACTTGTGCTTCAATGTGAGGTCA